AAGGTTACTCACAACAAGAAGGAGTCGACTATGATGAAATCTTTGTTCATGTGTAAGGTGAATTTGAAATGAGTCTTATTGGCGAGCTCTCATTCTTTCTCGGTCTCTAAATTAAGCAGTTAGATTAAGGAATTTTTATAAATTAAGGTAATAATGCAAAAGAGTTGATCAAAAAGTTTGGAATGGAAAAGGGCAAAGACTTTGGATCTCCGATAATTCCCTCCACTTGTCTAGAATCCGATACAACAGGAAAAGCAGTTGATGAAAAACATTATTGAGGAATGATCAAATCTCTATTATATCTTACTGATAGTCGACCACATATCATGTTCAGTGTTTGTAAATGCGCACAATTTCAATCTTATCCAAAGGAATCACATCTCACCGTTGTGAAACGAATTATTCGATATCTCATTGGAACCTTTGATATGTGGTTATGGTATCCATTTTTTTTTGAAAGTTTTGATCTAATTGGATATTCAGATGCTCACTTTGTAGGTGATAAAAATAACGAAAAAAACACCAGTGAATCATGCCAGTTTTTGGAAAAATCTCTTATTCCCTGGAAATAGACCTTTATTGCCCTCTCAACTACTGGAAATCATATTTGCTATCAAGTATTGGTTGGAGTTTCAAATTACAAGTTATAAGTTACAACAAACTACAACCTTCAAGAACCGGTTTTAACATCTGCTATTAATACAGACGTTTGGTACATTTGTTTCATGATATTTATATTTTATTTTTCGTCTTTAAGTTTTGTGTTGTTATTATTTTTATATTACACTTTATATATAATTAAATATGAGTTCCAACAAATAATATATCGGTAAAGGAAAAGAGAAAGAACAAAGTGGCATTTTAAAAATATTTAATTTTGGTAAAAAAAAAGAGTAAAGAAAAAAATGATAGTAAATGTGTTGGTAATTCATCTAAATCAATGTCTAGAGTTATATTTATTACAAATGATTCTACTTATGTTGATGATACTGCTTATGATATTCATTCAAATGTCCAACTTGATCACAAAAATTTAGAACGACGTTATGGTAATATTAATCCTAATCTTGATGAAAATTTCGATGAAGAAGTAGAAGGTGATTTGGGTGAACAGGAATTAAAGGATACACCTACTAACGGTGACACAAGTTCCAAATGAAACTATAAATTCAACGGAGCAAAATTGTGGATGTTCACCCCTTATATCTCCCACAAGGGAGAAGGTGAAATATCAACGCCCTAAAACTTCTATTGTGTGGCAATTTATGACTTTCGATAAGGAAAATTGTGTTGCTATTTGTAATAAATGTAAACAACCTTTTAAACATAAACAAGGTGGGGGTCAAGGTGGGACGCGGGGATTAAATACACATTTATTATCTTGTGTGTCGATTCAATATAGAGAAGCTAAAGAATTAACCAATAGAAAAAAAGAAATTTTAGTTAATGAATTTGATATTAGCGGTAATGGATCGGCAGGGGCTTCTAACATGGTTCAAGGAACATTAGATCCTTCTAATCCTGTGGTCCAGTAACACAACGTAAATATAATAAGGAATTAGATCGCGAAATTTAGCTAAATGGTTTCTATTTGTAGTTTGCCTTATAGTTTTTCTTCAAATCTCGATTTTATTGAATATATTCAACAAAATATAATTATGCTTATAGAGGTTTTTCAAGAAATACTTTAAATATAATGTTTTTGAATATCACGGTAAATATTGTCAATTTCTTCGTTGTATATTTAGCATATTAGATAGTAGAGTGTCTATAACTTCGGACACGTGTCATAGTGTTAATGGAAATGATTATTCAACTATTACAGCAAATTGGATTGATCATAATTAGAATTTGCAAAAAAAAATCTTAAATTATAAAAAATTTGTAGAGAAAAAAGCTGGTGCATATTTAGCTTCAAATATTTTAAGTATTGTTAACTATTACATGCTTATAGATAACGTAATGTCTGTCGCATTAGATAATGCATCTAATAATACAAACGCTGCTAAGATGTTAAAAGTTAGATTATGTCCAATTTGACAGTATTGCTTTTCATGTTAGATGTGTTGCACATATAATAAATTTAGTTGTACAAGATGGTATTTCATTATTTGATTGTAGTTGCATGAAAATTGAATATGACGTTGTCTGGATTTCATACTAACAAAGCTGCTAGAATTAGGAAATTTAATGAGCGTTGTTTACCATGTGAATTGTCACCTAGAAAAATTTCAAGACATTAAAACAAGGTGAAATTCTTTTTACGAAATGCTTTCAGTTGCTTACAAATATAAAAGCTCCATACAAATGATGTTTAATGCTCATAATGTTGACCCATTAGATAGAATTTGTGATGGAGATTGGGAAGAAACTAAAGAACTGTTACAATTTTTAAGACTACTTTTATGATGCTACAACTATGTTTTCTGAAATTTATATCCTACTATTTCATCAGTATTAATAAATATTTTTTCTCTTTCAATTCAATTTTCTAAATATAAAAAAATAGATAAATTTAGAGTTGTAATTGAAGGTATGATTGAAAATTTTATAAAAATATATTTTTCTTATTCCTCAGATTTATTTAACTGCTACTTTACTTCATTCTGATTATAAATTACGAGGTGTGCAGACACTTGTTGACACTTTTTTATGAAACTTTAGAAATTTACTGGGAAAAATTTCAACTTGTAAAATGTGTAAGTCTAGCGTAAAAGAATCAAAAATGTTATTTGAAAAATATAAAACTACGGAAAATACTCAAGTAGAAGTTGTTCAAACTTCTAATCCTGAGATTGATTGTGAAGTTCAAATTTCAACTTATATGTGAGGTGTTCTTTGTCTTAATTCTAATAATCGTGATGATTTTGAAGAATATCTTAGTCAATCTTTAGAAGCATTGGAAATCAAAGACGACAATGAAGATTTATTAGGATGGTGGAGGAGGAGGAGCGCAACGTTTTCAATTTTGAGCAGAATGGTTCGTGATGTTCTAACTATTCAAGCTTAATCAGTTACATCGGAGACTACTTTCAGTGCGGCAAGGTAGGTTTCAAATTGGCGATCATAGACATTAATTGGCTGAAGACAGTTTGGAAACAACAGTTTTATTAAGAGACTGGGTCAGTGCTGATAGGAGGAATAATATTTTGCCAAAGTTAAGTTCCAAACAAGCAACATGGATCAAAACGACAATTGAATGTAGTGATGATGAATTAGAGTCACAAGAATGTCTAGCAAGTTTGCCAACACCAGATGATATCACCATCCATATGATGCGACAATTAGAATTGAATTTTAAAGGAGAAAAGAGATATTATTAGATTACATACGGGAACTAATTGAAACAGATACCTTCCTAGAATGTGGCTGCGTAAAATTAGTTACTCATCTAATATCTATAACAAACATTAGTTTTACATATGAAAATTTATTGAAACAAAACCCTTCCTAAAAGGTTGCTGCGTAGATTAGTTATTTCACTAATATTTGATAATTGTAACTTCTAAGTTTTAAGTTGCAATTAGATTTTATTGAATAAATTTAAAGATTTTTTTCAAGTCTTTTTTATACAGTTACGTTCTTGCATTTTAATTTTAATATATACAATTATACATATATATGTAAATATATACTAAACTTAACTTTAAAATACTTAATTTAAAAATTGAAACTTGACATTTGAAATTTCATGTTTACATTACTTTAAATATATTTAAAATACAAATTTGAAATTTGAAATTTGAAATTTAAAACTTGAAATTTGAAATCTGAAACATGAAGCTTGAAATTTGAAGATTGAAACTTGAAATTTGAAAATTTAATTTGAAATTGAAATTTGAAAGTTAAAAGTTAAATTTAAAATTTATTAGCTAAAAACTATAACTTCAAATACAAATAAATAAGTATTTTTTTAAAAAAAATCTTTAATTCCGCCAAATTCTGTCCCATCGCATATATATAGTGGAATGGGATGGGACATATTTTTGTCCCCCCAATCCCAGTCCCCCCAATCTCGCGACCAGCCAAATCCCCCCATCGTCGTCCCCTATCCTGTCCCGTCCCCCATCTTCGTCCCCGTCCCTTTGCCAGCCTTACCTTTGAGTGAACAATTGTAAAGAAAAGAGAAAGAAAGACCTGAGTGTAGGTTATACAAGTAGATGTTGTGTCAAAAAATAAGGTCTAATTTGCATATCAGACGGGCTGTTAATCGTAATGTTCTGTAACACTCAAGTTATCAACAAGCTCTTAAAGAAACCCTTGTGATCCAATGGGACTGGAGTAAGCACCACATCGCTGATCTGAACCATAGTAGGAAGCTGACTGAAGGAAATTTTATCATTAGTCTTCATCTAAGACTATGTAGATCCTCATCCTCCCCAGAGTAGAGAGTGAGTCACAATGGGTTAAATAGTTGGGTTTCTATACAAATCGGATGTTTAAAATTAGGAATAAGCTTTAAAATTAGGAATAAGCTATGTGATTCCGAACATGTCATATGTCCAATAAATTTAAGGACGAATTTATACTCCCTCCGCTTCAAAAAAAAATTACCCTATTTCCTTTTTAGTTTGTTCCAAAAAGAATGATTCTTTACTTTTTTGGCAACACATTAACTTTAACTTTTCACGTGGCATGTTTAAAACCACAAGATTAAAAGGTATTTGATATATTTGACATAACTTTAAATTAGAACCACGAGATTAAAATGTCTTCTTTCTGTTCTTAAACTCCGTTTCAGATCAAACTAGGTCAATCATTTTGAAATGGAGAAAATCTTAAACTATAATGAGAGTTTATTTGAATCCGAAACTTATTTTGACAATAAATATAAACAACAATATATTTACATTATTTTGTAATAATACGAAACATACCCTTTTTGGATTCCAAATATTATAGTGCTGGTTGGCACTTCAAGAATATTAGGCTAATCTAAACTTACACGGCCCTGAGGGAGACTCATAATTTAGGCGTCGAGAAAAAAAGGATCTAAAGTAGCTTTTAGCAAAGTGAAATAATTTCCATTCACTTAAAGTAAAGAATCCAATACCCAACCCCTCCTTTTAAATATTTTCAACAACATATTTTCATTCTACTCTAAACTAACATCAGAAAGATTTTCCTGCAGCTGCCTGTTAAGAACTTTGTAACGTAGCAACAACAATGGCCAATGTTAGTACCTTAAAACCATTGGTGCAGTAACAGGTTTCAGATTTCCCGGTTTCTCTCATTTGATCAAATTTCCAATGTTCTGAAATTTATTTTTCATCTGTACATTAGGTGGTTGAGCTTAAAGTTGGTTTGCACTGCGACGAATGCATCAAGAAAATCTTGAAGACGATCAAGAAAATTGAAGGTATGACAAGTATTTCTCTACAACTTCAAATTCCTAAAATTATGTTCCAGAAAATGTAGGATTCTGGACTTTTGATTAATTATTTTTGGATGTGCGCAGATATTGAAACATATGATGTGGATAAACAACTAAACAAGGTAACAGTAACTGGAAATGTGACTAATGAAGAGGTGATCAAAGTTCTTCACAAGATCGGGAAACAAGCAAGCAACTGGGATCAACAATCAAGTTGCTAATCGAATAAGCCCAGAGTGCGCAATACCATCTTGCAATTTTATATTAGTATATAATATGTCCTGATTTTATCAATTTTATACTACTAAACAATATTTTCCAAGTATTTCTACATTACAGAACAATTAGATCTAATGCATATTTTTCTGTTCTGGCATTTATTGAAAACGCAATTTACAAGAGAAAACAAGTTTTGATGCTAAAATTGAACCTCAAAAGGTTCAAGGAAAAGTTCAAACAAGATATTGACGATTAAAAGGGGAACAGAAAAAGTTGAACGCACTATTTACACGATAGATACTAACTGACTCGAATGCTTTGGACTGGTAATTTGCTCTATCTGGGCTGCTGAATATGCCTAGGGCTCACTTTGACATTCACAATTTTTGGCACTTTCTTTCCGTACTTTGGAATTTCAGCTGTAACTCGTGATTTGTTCCATTCCAACAACCCCAAAGTAATCAATTCCTTCTTATTCTCCTCTTCTAATCACAAAACAAAAATTCAATCAATCGACACGAAAATACTGTTTCTAGTACTAAATGACTAGTAAAGTAGGTACTTACTCTTGATGAAATCGGTGTCAGGGAGAAGAGAACAACCGTAGGTATGGGAGAAATCGTTGTCAGCGTCGGGATCTGAGAAGCATTCACGAAGCCAGTAATGGCGGAACCAAGGAGAAGAGTGAACGAGATCCCACCAGTGATCAGAGAAGTCCTCCACTTGACGATACTCGAAGGGAACAAACATTGGAGCATTAGGATTTAGGGTTGAAGTCGCCATTGTTGTTGATGAACAAATTTCTACAACAAAAAACAAGAGTGATGGATATTATGAGTAGGCTCCACCTATATATATATAGTGCATTGTGGGTTGTGCTCATTAATTATTTACTTATTTTGTCTTTTTTGAAAGATAGAGATAAGGTTTAATTAAACTTTATCCTATCAAATCCACATATTTTTTTCTTAATTACACCAAAAATTGTGTAATTATGTAGTTTAAAAATGAAATTAAGACGCCGCCCGTGTGTAAGTTGGAGGTGGCACATGGAACGTATGGTGTAATGCAACGTGCCACAGCACGTGACTTTGTTTCAATCTGTTGGCTAGAGCGCAGAAGAGATTACGCGTCATTGTTCTTATCCAATTCACTGACTTTTACCTACCAAATTGCACTATTTTACTCGCAACTTCCATTTTCGCTATTTTTGGTTATAAACTGACAATTCAGCGAGTCCACTCGATTAGTGTTAGCTAAATGGGCTATAGATTTTTAAATTTTTTTTAAAAATATTATTTGAGTAAAAATTAGGATGAAATTTTAGTATATATTCGATCATAATATTTGAGAAATATATTTTAATTTTTTAGAAAAATATGATTTATACCGATAAGTTTTTAAAAATATCAAAAATAATTATAATTTTGTATTACAAGTCAATTGGATGTTTATTGCAACAATAACAAATAGTGTGCATGACACTACAATAATGTGGTAGTTTAGAGTAAGTGTAACAAACATCATTTTATAAATTGTGAATCAATTTTTCATCAACAACCATATTATCATTTCATATTTACTGAATATTTCATCATTACTTTGGTGTTCACGTAAAAAATTATTTAATAAAACATAAACAACTATTACCTCTTTCCTTATTTACTTGTCTATATTTCCTCTTTTAGATGTCATTATTTACTTGTCCATTTTGACATATCAAGAAAAGTCATTTTTTTTCATATTATACCCTCATTTAAACTTCTTGAAAATTTTTAAGTTTTAATTCATCCTTTTTTAAAAGCATATTTAATGAGGGTAAAAATTGTAACTTCACTATGTTAATTATTATTATCTTAATATGTGTGTCTTTTCTAAAGTGGACAACTAAATAGGGACAGAGCGAGTACTATAAAGGATGTTTTTGTAAAATATAAAAGTTAAAGGTAAATTTTCAATTTTCAAAAGATCTCAAATAATAAGATTGACCCAAACACTAGAAAAAACTAATATTTGAAAATTTGAAATATTTACCAAAAATATTTGTCAAATAATGACAAATTATATAGATAAATATTATTTGGAAAATCTATAGCCAAACGGGCTGCACCCTTAACAAAGCTAGCACACAAAGAAACCAAGTTTCAGTGGAGCGATGAGTGTGAAATAAGCTTCCAAGAGCTGAAGAATAAATTAACTTCTAAACCTGTGTTGGTATTTCCAGAAGGTACAGAAGGCTATGTAGTGTACTATGATGCTTCAGGAGTGGGCTTAGGTTGTGTATTGATGCAGCATGGTAAAGTTATAGCTTATGGCTCAAGGCAGCTGCGGCCACATGAGAAAAATTATTCAACCCATGATCTAGAGCTAGCAGCAGTTGTGTTTGCTTTGAAGATATGGCGCCACTACTTGTATGGAGTACATGTTAACATATACATTGATCACAAAAGCTCGCAATATATCTTTAAGCAAAAAGACTTAAATCTGACTCTTGCGCCCTTCTTCTTTGCCTTTGATCCTCCAACTTTTGCGCAAAAGCCTACATCCTTGCTATATCCATATCTTTATTCAACGAAGAAATTGTACAATCTCTAACCAGATATAAATCTAATCTATCCACAAATTGATGGACTCTATCCTCCACAGTAGCTACTACATTAGGAGCATACCTGGCCAAGGAATTAAATTTGAGAGTATACTCTCTCACACTCATATTTCCCTGGTGGAGATTTAAGAATTGATCTGCAGGGCTTCTCAGATCTCCAATGGCAGATAATGATCAAGGAATGCCTTTTGAACTCTTTCCACGTAGCTGAAGGTGCATTTGTTCCCCTAGATTGCTCCCAAGCTTCATACCACAATACAGCCACACCTTTTATTCTGTATGCAGCTAGCTCAAGTGCTTTTTTTTATCACTTACATTCATAATATCCAAGGTGCGTTTGATTTGATCAATAAAGTCTTGCGGATCTTTATTAGGATCTGACCCGGTAAATGATGGAGGGTCCAAGTTAAGAAAATCACGTATCCGTGTTCCAGCTGATCCATCTACACCACTAGTACCTGCAACTGGACCTTCTTGCCTTTGGCCATGACCAGTAACTATACGAGTCAATAATTGGTCTACATTCCTTAAATCTTGCTCGGTAGCATTGATAGGGGTTTCTAAGGTTCATCTTCCCTCCTTAGTTCTGAAAGAAAGATGGTTAACTCGTAGTGATATCCATTGTTGTGCAGCAAGGTATGTAAGACTATTCGATTTCCTATTTCCTTGGCATGAATACAATACTTTTAAGCTTTCTAAGTGCTCTTGATAGTGACTGATCCATAAATGCAGTTCGTACTCCCTTGAGAATTAAAGTGAGGACTCTACCATGAGTTTGTTACTTAATGTGCGTTTTTTCTCTTCTAAGTGTTAGCATGCAAGGTTTAAACTTGTTTCATTGTCAAAGTACCCCTGACACGTATTTCCCTTATATAAGTTAAAGTGATCCTAGATTACACATGGTACATATGTTTATAGGATGGATACACGATCTGCCTATATCTTGCCAACTTGCTTCAATAGTATATTCCATCATATATGTCATCTTTTCACATGTTCATGTGTTCCCTTTATTGATTATTACTCCCATTGTTTAGACTATTATGTTGCCTCACAAGATGTCTAGTTTCCCTATTGTACATTTATATGGATGTACTTACTTGAAATATGTATTCGTCCGTAAGTTGAATTTGTCCACATTCTTCCTTGGTTCCACATTCATATATACCTTGTCTTTGATATTAGTTGATCAGTATTTGGCTATCATATAGAGTTCAAATCTCTTGGATGAAAGTTATATGTCTTCACTTCGTATGTGCTTCTATTTGAGATGTCAAAAATGCGTACTGAGTCATAGAAGAAGTATTGTTGGTGTCAAATTTGCTTTCCAAGTCATTGCCATTATCGTTAGTCCATATTCGCATGTCTTCTACTACTAGTTCATAGTTCCAAATTCTCAACATGATTATAACCACCAAAACATCAATCCCAAATGAGTTACTATCAACAAAAGAACAATCTCAAAAGAGTTATGATTATCCAAAGTACACAGTCTCAAAAGAGTTATGAACATCAAAGCAACAATCTCAAAGATTTAAACAGAGTTCTTCCCATCCATTTTCCCCTAATCATTTTTATAAGGTCCTCTGCAACCCCTCGGCTTTACCACGTCTAAAAAACAGTATTAAAGAAATGGCAGGAAGTAAGCTCATGCAACCCTCAATTAAGTGGTGTCTCACTACACTTTCAATGTTCTATCCTCTAACCAGTTTTGATGACTTCTCTACATATCCTGCCAGACCCTCTTATTTATATGATACACAAAACATTCCCTAAGCTTCACAATGTGGAAATAGCTATATGAACTCATGACTTCCGATCAACATCCCGTGAATTCCAACTAACATTTAGATTCTCAAAACAAGCTCACAGTCAAAATTTAAGGGGACTCCACTCCAAGTATGTCCCAACAAGCACCTCCTTCCTGAACATTCACCAAGCTCAGACCATACAGAGGCAACACTCAACAGTTCATTAACGCATGCAAGCTTTTATAAATAATGCAAGAACAAGAGAATGATGGAAATTTCCATAGCTTACCCTGCTAGATAGAAACCTCACTTGCCAAGACTTGGATTCTTCAAGGTTTAGGTTGTCCTCTCTAACTTACCTTGATGTTAAATCAGATTATTCACTTGAATTCCTTAAGGTGGGAAATGTTCTACCAACTTGTACTTTAAAAATACATTGTTTCCTTCAGATTCTAATGGTGAAGTTGTAGAACAGAACTCTTGGAGCTTCCATGGCTTTCCTTGGGAGTAATTTATGGTGAATAAGTAATATGAAAGAGATATGATAAGCTTGATGCTTTAGAGGTCATTTTGGACGTTTTTCCTTTAATAAATTGGGAAATAATATGGTCCTTTACTTTAAGCAAGAAAGTGCATCACCTCCTTAGTTTCTGCCATATGTTTTTAAGTGGTTGCATCAGCTACTTGCTCTTTTCACTTAAATTCAGTCCACTTATTCTAAGTAGGTGCACCACCTACTAGCTCCGTTAAAATTCAGTTCACTAATTCTAAGTAGGTGC